TTAAGTATGTGTTTATAAAAACGCATAACTTCTTTACATTAGTGTTATCAAGAATATATATGTATATATATTTATATATATATTTTCAGTTGTATTTAGCCATATTTTTGATATGGCTATGAAAAGTGTTTACTCGATGCTTTGTCATATTTTTTAAATTTAAAACTAAGTAAATTATAAAAAAATTACAGATTAAGAGTTGCACAAATTTGCAGCATTCTCTTGGTATAAAATTATAATTACCTAAATACTTTTATGCTATATAAAATGTCTTAGAAAAATATTTTGTTCTTATTTTATTTATCACAAATTTTGTATTTTGTTGTTAGCCTCTTGGCAAAAATAATTAAGTTTCTGTTTTTACAATTATCCTCTTTGCTGCAATAATTCCCTCCATTAGTTTTTATTTCATATCGCATTTTCTCTGGTGTTTTCATTCTGTAATTTTTATATAAATCAAATAAAACTGAAAAAAATTATACAAAAAAAGATATTCGAATTTTAACGACACTGAAAGTGTTTATTATTGTAAATTTGTTTATTGTTGTAAAAACACAAAAAAAGTATGAATGTTATAAATAGTATATTGTAAATATATATTACTAAATTTTAGTTTTTAAGTAACTGCTAATCAAAAATTCAGTTTATTAAAATTTTAGTTTAATTTAAACAAAAGAAAAAATAATTATTTTAGTTCTATTACTCTCGAAAGTATTTTCAACGCAATTTTAAAAACAAAATTAAAAATAATGTATTTAATATAGTTATTTAACTACCCTATGTTATACAGATTTGTTTAATTTAAATCCATGTTAACGAAAAATACTATTTAATTAGCTACATTCGCAACTTCTTGAATATATTTACAATTTTTGTGTTTACATATTAATTTTTTTTAAGTATAAATATTTTTTTAAATTAATTTTTGGTTTTCGTTTTTTTAGAATTTAAAATTTTTTGTTTGTTACCTCATATTACTTTAATTAATTAATTACTTCTTTATGTTCTTAAAATAATTATTTGTACCATTTTTTCATTCTTTATATTATTAATTTTTTATTAAGTGAATTGTTTTTTAAATTTTTGTTCTATTTTATATAACTTAAAACTTATTTTATAAGAATTGTTATCAACTTTCGTTATATACATTTTTAATAGTATATATAACAGTTTTTTGTTTAAATATTTTTTTTTCAAATATTGTATATAAGAATTTTATTAATTGTTTTAATAATGTTTTGAAAGTTTTTTTTTAAATTTATTTTTATATTTTTTATATATATTTTTTTTAATAATCAAATATAATTTTTTTATTATTATTTTTATTATTATTTTTATTATTATTTTTATTATTTTTTTTATTATTTATTTTATTATTTTCAAATATTTTTCTTTACAATATGTACAAATCTTACAAATCAATTTTACCATAAATTGTTTAAAAGTTTTTATTAATATATTTTGTCTTACAATATATTTTTTAAATATATTTTTTATATATTAATCAAAATATATTTTTCAAACTATTTTTTTAATTAAGTTTTTATATATTTTTTTTATGTGTTTCTCACGAAATGCTTTATATTTTTGATATACTTTTTTTCTATTTTTAAAATTTTTTTTTTTTATAAATTTTTTGAAAATATTTTTTTTTTTAATTTTTTTAAATATTTTTTTTTATAATATATTAATATTTTAATAACTAATAAAATAATTTTAAATATACTTTTTTTATCAATTTTTTTTTTATATTTTTTTTTATATTTCTTTTTTATATTTTTTTTTATATATTTACAGATTTTTTAAATATTTTTATTTTATGTTTTTTTAAAAATTACTTTAATATGATTTTTATTAATTTGTTTTCATGTTTTTTTTAATAATTTGTTTTCATATTTTTTAATATTTTTGTATTTATATTTTTTTTTAAATTTTTAATTTTGTTTGAAATTTTTATTAAATTTTTTTTATATTTTTTTTATATTTTTTAATTTTGTTTGAAATTTTTATTAAATATTTTTTTTTTATTTATTATTTTACTTTATTATTATTAGTGTTTTATTTTTATACTATTTTTAATGTTTTTTCATTTTCATTTTAATATTATTTTTATTTAATTTTTACTTTATATTTATATTTTATTTAAATTTTATTTTTATTTCATTCTTATATTGTTTTTATTACTTTTTTTTGTGATATTTTTGCAAAAGTTTTTGTTATTCAGATTAAAAATTTTTTTGATACATTTATTTTACTAAACATTTGTTATTTCGTAAGTTTTGTTTTATATTTTAATTATTATTTTTTTATTTCAGTATTTTATTGTAATTTTTTTTTATTGAAAATAATTTTCAATAGCCAATTATATTAACATATTTCCGTTGACGAGAGTTATGAAAATGCTTAACAAAAATATATAAAGTTTCTAAATATTTAAAAACAATATTTAATTTTTCAGATATCAGATGTTTTTTAAAAAACTTGGTAAAATAATAAATTTTTGGCGATAAAATGGAAACTTTTCCAGGATTTAATAAATAAAAAAATAGAACAAAATTGTAATTATTTAAAATTATTTATAAAATTATTTAATAAATACTTTTTATTCGCAAGAAAATTGCTTTTAAATATTTTATTATATTTTCCATGAAAAAAAAACCAATATATATGTATTAATATATTTATATAAGTTACGTTGTTAAGATATTTAAAATTATTTAAGTTAATGTTACAATTATTAACAGCTAAAAAAAAAACAAAAAAATTTTTTAATACGAAAAATATACTAACACCACTACATATAAAAAAATTAAAATTAATTTATATATGTAATTTACTCAATGTTTCCAACAGGCATAAATTTTAATGTATGTATATGTAATTACATTTCTAGTTATGTATTATTACTATTAAAAATTCTAATTATTATTAAGAACTGTAGTTGAAAAAAATCAAATAAAATCAAACAAAAAAAAGATTATAAATGAACAATAAAAAATTAACTAAATACAAAATAAATGTTTAAAAACCAAACTTTTAAATTTTTAATTTGTCTATTGGAAGTTTCTCTAACTAAAGACTCACTAGAGACTTCGTCAATTGACGTCAGTCAATATGAGTTTCCTGTTCATATTATCTAATAGTCTGGATGCCGTAATTTCTCTTTCAAGAGATGCCGTCAACTCTTGTAATATAATACCAAATAATATTAGAGATCATTCTTTGTGGATACTTGTAGTAAGACTCAATTTTACTTAGAATCTATGCTAGAACACATAGATTCTAAGTAGAAATAGTTTTTGATGAGTTCTTAAGCAAGTAGTATTTTACTTATACCGGAAAATTAAGATGAACGTTTGGTACATAATGGTATTGCCATTAAGAACTTAAAAATATTAATTAATTGGGAATTATCCTTTTCAACAAATAATATTAGCGACAATAAGTGAAATCCAAAACTATTTTTATTACAAAGGTTAGGTTGGGCAAAAAGTATTTCACGTTTTTAAATCAAAATTATAAAAAGTTTTAAATTCAAAAATAATGTTGCCCAATTTCTTCGATCAACGCCTACGAATTTCGGGATTTCTTTTTTGTGAAAGTAAAGGAAATTGTATTTATTAGACAGTCTTTCAAAAATTGGAAGAAATGGATACCTGTAGGTTCGTATCCAGTGTTATACGGTGAGTAGTCCAACGTGGTTGCAATGAATCAGAACACATTTTCTCATATTAGATTAAAATTTTTTCATAGATTACAACTTACCTGTACCTAAACAACGACAAAAACAGTGGAATATTGTGGTGAATCTGTAGTTTCTTAATAATCTAATCTATTCGAACCTTTTCCATTATCCATTTAATTAATTTTGATAATAGACCAATTACAGTGATGAGCATCTTTTACATATAAATTTTTAGTATTATCGAATGTAACGACTAATTTCAAAGTTATCACATAGTGACGAAAACTTTTTGGCCAACCCAGTAATTTTATTCCCTTGACGTTATTTTACTACATTTATTTTATTAAGCGGTCCGCGCATCCGATGGAAGGTCTTGACTATTTTGATCACAGTACATTAATATATAAAAAAAGTAGAACTGTTAAAAATGAGTTTTCTATTAAAAAAATATATTGGATTGAAAATGTACATTGAGTCCTTTTATTTTATTTAAATTTCCAAACATTAACAAATTTAAAGCCATTATTTTCAATGCAACAATTATCGGTTAGCTCATAACTGGCCAGTTTTTTCATAAAACTAAGTCTGTGTTCAGTTAAACCATGTCGTCCAGGATCTCCAATGAATATATGTTTTCCTGCTTTTTGTAAATGTTGCAGCCATGGTAAGATTTCAGCAGCAAACTCCTCGTCATAAAAAACATCACCAAGCAATACTATATCTTCAGTGATATTGGTTCCAATCAAATTTTCAAAGCATACTTTAATGCGTCTTTCTAAGCCACTACTATTGGTCGGGGTATTTAATGATGTATTTAAAAACAGAGCACAAGCCGCAACTGAAAACAAAGTTTAAAGTAAATGGTAGTTATTTTCATATATAAGATGTAGCAGTAAGTAAGGAGTAAGGGGATGTAGCTCAGTGGTAGAGCGTTCGCTTTGCATGTGAAAGGCCCCGGGTTCGATCCCCGGCATCTCCAATTATTTTTTGTGATTAAACTTTTTTAAAAATGTTAATACTACCTTCGTCAATATCGTTTGCCACTACGTATTTTGCATTGCAAAGTAACGAAGCCAATGTGCTGGCACCACAACCACTACCAACATCTAGTACGGTTTTGCCTTTAATTAAGTCGGGATGATCTAAAATGTATCTAATAAAATTAAAGAATGAAATATTGTTATATTGTATAAATTTGATTTGTGTGTATAGTACCTGCTTAATGCTTGTCCGCCTGGCCAATAGAAGCCCCAGAATGGATCGTTTGGAAACACTTTTTGTGAGTCTGTGGTTATTGGATCATTAAATAAACGACATTCTGGAGTAATTAAATGTAAAGCGATTTCCGGTGTTAAATGATTCCGTGATATGCTGGTTTCTCTGATAATGCGACGTTCTAATTGTTCATAACTAAGACTATGGAGAGTGGAAATAATATTTTTAATATTAAAGTGAAATATACGTCTTTACTAAATTCATTTTAAATAATTTAATATGTATGTGTATGTAAGATAAAAATAGTTTTACTGTGTG